TTGGGGTTTGAATGATATTTCCAATAGCCAAGCCAACTGTATTCGTGTGGAATGTTGGCGGTCAAACTTTGAACGGCCGATTTTCCGAGTCCCGTTAAATCGGTTTTGACCTAAACCAGTTTAATTTCCAAAAAAAAAAAAAAATTCCGCTCATCCAGAACTAAACTGATTTAGAGGCAAAATTTTGAACTCAAAGAGCTTGTGGAATCTTGAGGCAAATTTTACAAGTTAGAGTTTCAGCTCTTAGGGGGTGTTTGTTTGTATGTAAGTGAAAGATGAAAGTGAGAAAGTTGCTTTCATTTAACAATTAAGGTGTTTGTTTTCATGTAAGTGGTTATGAAAGTGAGATGCAAGAAAATTGTCACATATGATTTAACGCAATTTTGATTTCCCCTAAAAAAGTAGTGAAGTCACATGAAAGTGACCAAAAAGTAACTAATTTAATTAAATGATTTTAATTATATTTCTAATTAATCTTATTTTGCAACGTCATCTTCACATTGCACTTTCGATAATAATTTAATTTTTCAAACAAACACTGTATTTCACTTGCGTGCTGACATGGATGTAAAAGTCATTTTACAAAAAAAATAACTTGTATATTTTAAATTCACTTTTAGATTGTCAAACACCCCCTTATAATCTGATTAGTTACTCCAATTTGGTTAGCGAGAGAGTTGCCAAATTAACAAACTCGAGCGCCAGAAAAGACAAGGTTTAGGTTGCAAAGCCCAAGAGCAAAATATAAACTAGACCAGCATATTTAGAACCAAATTGGCTGAAATAGTAATCTTACTTGAATCGTGAGCTCAAATGTTAATCATAATCATCTGATTTGTGTGTTTAATATGTGATCCGATAAACTTTTGGTAAATCAAATTCATATCTGAACTCATGGATGCAAGACATTGGCAACAAAAAGAAAATGCGGAAAGATAAGGTGAATAGTCTCTGTTTTTTTAATGCTCCGTCTTCAATTTTACACGAGCGAGTAAAAGAGCGCTGGTCCTATCACTATGTGAAAAGTTTTGGCAGTCTCACTTCATTTCTCAGAAAGGATCGAATTTGGCATTGTAGATGTGTAACCAATTGCGGTTTTATCAGAAAACTTCCAAAAATTTTGGGTAATTTATATAATTCACAAGTGGTCGGAGTGTTACTTGAGAATTTTAGATCTTCTGTCATGGTGTAAACCGTCTTATTTCTAAAGGGATAGCTCTAATCAGATCCTTGTGCGAGAAACTCTGTAATATATATGATGTTTTTCTTAGGTTTCATTTTTTTGACTAAACTTGCATTGTACGTTCTCATGAGTTCTTCCCCATGATTCTCTTAACAGCCTCATTGGCTAGCTCACATGCATATAATTAGCACATGGTTCATGTATGCTTCCATAAATTCATCAAGAAACTAGTTTTTCTATATGAAGTTTTTAAAATTGTCACTTTAATATTTCCTGCTAGGCAAACATGAGAATATATTTCAGGAAGAACAAATGTGGAAACAAAGATCTAAGGCACATTGGCTAAAAGAAGGTGACAACAATACTGCATATTTTCATAAAATTGCTAATGGTAGAAAAAGAAACAACTTGATTGCCTCTATCTTCATTAATGAGATGGAGGTTAGTTCTGAAGATGGTATAGCTCATGCTTTTACTAATCATTATAGACAAATTTTTGGGCAAAAAGAGACTTATAGATGTCAACTTGATTGGAATAAAATCTTTCCTTTAGTGGATTGGGACTCTAGAGATATTGAAAATCCTTTTTCTGAGGATGAAGTGCATAAAGCTATATTTGATATGAAAGATGATAAATCTCCTGGTCCTGATGGTTTTTCGGCTATCTTCTTTCAGGAATTTTGGGAGACTGTGAAAGTTGATATTATGAGATTGTTTGAAGAATTTTATGAAGGAAAATTGGAAATAAATAGACTCAATTATGCTCATATTGTTCTTATTCCAAAAAAGAATGAAGCCACAACAGTTAATGATTACAAACCTATCAGTTTACTTAATGTGGTTTACAAAATAATTACAAAAGTGTTGACTAACAGATTGAATCCCAAGCTGGAACTTCTTATTGATCCTGTTCAGTCAGGTTTTATAAAAAACAGATTTCTGATTGATGGTGTAGCTGCTGCTCAGGAAATTATTAATGATTGTTTTCAAAATAATAGAAAAGGAGGTATACTTTTAAAGTTAGATTTTGTGAAAGCTTATGATATGCTAGACTGGAACTTTCTTTTGGATGTTTTGAAGGCAAAAAAATTTGGAAGTAAATGGATAAATTGGGTGAATGTATGCCTAAAAGGAGGTATGTCAGCCATTAACACAAATGGGAAAATTGGTAGTTGGATTATGTCTAAAAGAGGAGTTAGACAAGGTGATCCTTTATCTCCTCTTTTGTTTGTTTTGGCAGCTGATGCTTTTACCAATATGTTGAATTTAGCAGCTGAAGCATCTCTTATAGAAGGTTTGGGTCCTATTAATATGTCCCAGAAGGTTTGCTGCCTTCAATATGCTGATGATACTTCAGTTTTCTGTAAAAACAAAAGAGAGCAGCTGACAGTTTTGAAACTGATCTTATACTGTTTTGAATTAGCATCTGGATTAAAAATAAACTTTAACAAGAGTTTGCTCATTGCTCTTGAAGATAATGAGATCTTGCAGCATAATCTGGCTGGCATGTTAAATTGTAAAAGTGGTAGTTTTCCTATCACATATCTTGGGGTTCCTTTGAGGCCTGGAAAATTAAAAAAGAGGATTGATCTCCTATTATTGATAAGTTTGAAAGAAGATTGTCCTTATGGAAAGGAAAATCTTTATCAAGGGGAGGAAGATTAGTGCTTGTTAATGCAGTTCTTTCCTCTATGCCAATATTTTGGATGTCTTTTTTCTTATTTCCAGGGTGGCTTATTGATAGAATTGATATGATGAGGAGAAGATTTTTATGGACTGGTTCTTTGGAATACAAAAATTCATCTAATTTGGTTAAATGAGAAGAGATTTGCAGACCCAAAAAGCTAGGTGGCTTGGGTATCATAAATTTGAGAACTATGAATAAAGCCTTGTTGGGAAAATGGATTTGGAAATGGTTTGATGATAAGATGGATCTATGGAAAAAAATAAGTTTCTACAAGTATTTTGAAAATAAAAACTGGTCAGATTATTTTTGTTCTGACAAAAGATCCCTATCTTATTTCTGGAGGAATATTTTTATTAATGTTGATAGCTTTTTATGCAGTACTAGTGTAGATGTGGGGAATGGAAATAATACTCTTTATTGGCTTGATAAATGGACATGTGCAAATACTCTGGCTTCTATGTTTCCTTCTCTTTATAACATTGCATCATTCCCTTATGCTACTATTACCAGTTTGAGGAAAAAACTAAATAATGATTGGATTTGGGATATTAAATTTCAAAAACAGCTGACAGGAAATCTGGTTTTTCAATATTATGATATGTTGAACAGTATTATGCTTATTAATTTTGTTCACAAGGAGGATAAGAGAAAGTGGATTTGGGAAGCAAAAGACAAGTTTACTGTTAAATCATATTATCATTTTCTTATTGATGGACGCTCAAGGTATGATTGCTTAAATCTTTGGAAGCTTTCTGTTCCTCTAAAAGTAAAATTTCTGGTCTGGTTGGCTTTGAGAAGTGGTTTAAACACGAAAAAGAATTTAGTAAAGAAGGGTGTTCACATGGACGTGCTGTGTTGTTTTTGTTCCAAGGAGGAGGAAAATCACTTTCATCTTTTTGTTAATTGTGAGTTTGTTTACTCTATTTGGAGATCTGTCCAATTTAAATTGAATATCAGGAAAGATTTCAAGTTATCTTCCTTAAAAGATATTTGGAAGAAATGGAGTGATGAGAAGTATGATAGTGAGAACATAGAGAGAGATGTGATTCTTTGTTCTCTTATTTGGTGTATTTGGTAGGAAAGAAATGATAGAATTTTTTCAAATAAGAAAAGGAGATCATTAGAACTTTTGAACAAAATTTTGACTTTTGCAAAATTTTGGATAGGTTCTCAGATAACAGATCGTGCAGCTAGACTACAAGAGAGGAGGAGGAAAAAAGCTGCTGCTGTTGCTTCTGTTGCTGGAATTTCTTCAGTTTCCACAGCTGGGGGGTGATTGATCTGCTGGAATGAAGACTAAGCTGAAGAAAGAGATCTGCTTTTGTGGTCTAAATATGAAAAAATGTACATTTGTTGATCTTTTGATACAGTTTTTAATATTTTGTTATCAATTGCTAGGGGGTGAAGAGTTTGGGTGAAGCTGACTATAAAACTCTGATAATCTAGGGTATTCATTCTTGGTTGGGGATGAATACTTTTTTGTAACAACCAATTTTGTTTAATTTAGCTGGCTGGATTACTATGTTGGTAATCCATCCTTTTTCTCAAAAAAAAAAACATGAGAATATATGTTTGAATATTTCATGTGGTGCTCGCATGTTAATGTTTAGAACTTTTAACTATTAAATGTTTGTTGAATGTAATGTTCAACTTATCCAAAATCTATTTTTAAATAGGATTAAAATAGAGTTAAAATTGAATTCGGATAGGTCTAATAGTAAACTCAACTTAGGTTAAGGGTTAAAAAGATCTGAAACTAGCATTTGAATGTCACATGGGAATATTGTGAAGAAAAACCTAGCATACGCTTGCATATCAGAAATTACTAAAGTGTTGATTTTCAAAAATTGAAGATATATAAATTACTAAAGTGTTGAGGAACTATATATAACGTTTTTAAGTGCTAGTTGGCCTTTTCCATAGAAAACCTTCATAGCATAATAGTCCAATATTACATCAATCTCAACCGTTCATTGCGTTTAGTCCAATCTTTTTCATTCTCGTACGCTCTATGACCGGTGACCGCTATATAAAGACTTTTATAAGCCAAGTTAATTAACTGATCATGTGTTACACTAGATGTAAAGTAGCACCCTTTTTGAGAAAACCAATTGCAACTCTCCGTTACAAAGTGTGTTTTAACTTTAAGCGAAACTCGCAAAGAATTTAAAGAAGGTGCGCAGCGTATTTAGCTTTAATATATTGCTCCAAAGTAAAACTTTATTTGATCAAGAATTTTTCGTTCTGACCCCTGTTTTAAACAACATGACAATCACCTTCTCCATTGAAAAATAAACAAAACACCCTCTCGAGTGCGTCACAAATGACCCGAAGCTCATCCCCACGATGCAATGCCACGCCGGCCCATAAACCTTATCAAATTCCTGCAGACAAAAATAAAAATAATAATAATAGTCCATCAGAATCCTTAAACTCTATTAACTAACTACGCGATCGTCATAAATTAACGACACCCTAACTAACCTTTTTAACGTCATGGGCGATTTTCCTCGAGCTGAACTTGTCGAGCCCGTCGTAGGCTTTCCTCGCGCACCGGAACGCATGCGCCTGCATAAACTGCGGCATTTCTGCGGCCATCGGACGCGCACGCCGGAGACGCCGCGGTCGCGCCTCCGCGGCCAGACTCGGCCCCGGAGAACGACTTGCGGGCCTCTAGTTGACGCTGCGTTATTCGCGTCGCGGCGATGGATCAAGTTGTCAGTGCCAATGTTCGGATCCATGATCATGAGCTTGGCGAGGGAGCATTTAGTACTGTAGGTCTCCATTAAAATTGTCGGCAGGGCGTAATGTGGACATGTGCAAGTTCGTAAACTTTATATATATAGTGGAGAAATGTGTTTGTTTATATGTAATTGATGCTGGTGTGATGAAGGGGGAAGGGGAGGTGAACGGCTAGCTTTGGGGCTAACAGCCCCATGTGGGATTGCCTGGCATTTAATGAATTGTAAAGGGCAAGGGAGGGTGGTTGGTCGAAGAATAATATGTTCTCTGATTTTGGTCTAGAAATTAAAGATTTTGTCTCTGTGTTTGCTGAGCTAATATGGGAGATTTTGTTTAGGCGCTTAGTCAAACCATCAAATTAATTATTTTCCTCTACTTCCTGAATTATTTTTGGTCTTATATCTTCTCCTCTAAACTATTGAATTCATCTCTATTATGATCTATTTTCAGTATTACCTTGCTGTTAGATCTATACCAAAACTTGAGATCTAAAACCATATAGCCATGATTAATTCAAAGAGATTAACAAG